AAAAAAAACCAAAATCAGATTTTCAGAAAAAAATTTGTTTTATCTATCTTTTTACTTGTTTTGTTTGATCAACGTTATTTGCGTATTTGATATGAAATATTTGAAAAACAAAAACAAAAATTGATGTTTCAATCGACTGATTGATCTGGATTCCTTTAGGGGATTTTTTCGAAACATGTCTTTTTTCGAAGGGAAGAGAAAAGTCAAAAAAAAAATCTAGGCCACATAAAAGTAAAGCAACGAATTTAATGTTTTTTGATAAGCATAAGTGAAAATAATGCAATTCTCCTATAGGATATGATTTGAGCAAATATAACAATAAAAAAAGCTCAAGGATTCATGAGAAAAAATAAAAAGTTGTTTCGATTTTTCATATTTTCCTGAATATTATTATTTATCAATTCATCTCTTCTTTTCATATTTCGTTTTTTTTCATCGTCACGTAGTCTTGTTGAATTTTAACACTTCAAATGTGATGATGAATGAATGATTCTCATATGATTTGTTGAAATTGACTTAGCAACAACAGTGATGATGATGATGATGATGATGTGGGAATAAACAAGAATATTTCTCACTCTGTGTTCTGTGAAGTTTTTTTTCAATAAAATTCTATGATGATCGAAAATTCTTGTCTTGCTTAATCGAAATTATTTTTAGAAAATTTCTAAAAATTTTATCCATGATAATAGTTTTTTTTGTTTGGGTAAAAATACAGAAAAACAGAAGTTTAATAGTTTTGTCAATAACATTCGGAAAGAGTTTCTTTCATCATCATTAATAGATTGAAATGAAATGATTGGAAACAAATCTTGGATTAATACTGTAAACAAGAATTGAAATCAAAGTGAATGAGCGGCAGAGAAAAAAAAAGAAAACAAAAAAGCAATTATCAATTTCATTGGAATTGAAATCCCAAATCGGATTGGATCGAATTTTATTTTATCATCTTGTAGATGATAATTTTCTAATTTTCCACAAATTTGTTTTTCATGTTTTTTATTTAGAAGGAAAAATAAAATATTACAAGCCAAGGCCAATTTCAATTCCAATCATCAACATTATTATGATCATCAGTGTAAATAAAAAACAAAAAATAACCATGAAATTCGATAAGAAATGTTGTTTTTCTATTTTTTTTTCTCATTCCTACAATCGGATTCGATGGATTCGCAGAAATGGAGAAAAAAATATCAACATCATTACGATTTAATTTTTTTTGTTTGTTTGTTTGTATGACATTCTAAACATATTAAACCAAGAATCAGAAAAAATAATAATAGTATTATAACAAGAAAAATAAGAATCGAATAGTGAAACAAAAAAAAAATCTAAATATCAATGATGATCAAACAGGAAAAATAAAAACATAAGACCAATATTCTTGAAGCAGCTTTCCTAATAAAAAATTCACAAGACGTTTCGTTTGGAGAAAGTGATGAAGTAGTAAGAAGAAGAAGAAAAATATCAAAGAAAATCTTTGGTACATTTTTTTCTCTATTTGATTATAATAATCATTGTCATCATCATCATCATCATCCAGAATTAATAAACCATGTAGAACAAGAATTTGATTGAATTTTTGGCAGAAATACATTAAAAATTTTCATTATTATCATCATCTTTAAGAAGCTAATTTTTCCTCCTTATTTCCTTTTTTTTTAAAAAAAACTTTAAGTAAATAAAATTTAAAAACAAACAAAAATCCATGATGCAAGGAAATGAGTGAAAAGTAAAAAATAATAATGCTTTTTTTACATTTCAGAATATAAATGGCTAATTTTTCAGTAAACAAAAACAGAAGCAATTCATTTTTTTGAATGAATTATATCCAGATAATTATAAATGAATGATTGGACAAACAATTCACACGTATTATTTTGCATATAAATCAGTAACAGAATAATATTATTCTGAAAAAATTTGCTAATCATTTGCATATTTGAATCATAAAAAATCATCATTATTTTATGTAATAAACAACAATTCACTCAGTTTGAAAAAAACCATCAAACATAATATTCTCATAATGAATGATGGTGAAATTTTAAAAAATTACTAAAATACTTTCAAAAAAAACACCATTCCCTTATTACAAGCGATTCACTGTTAATAATATGAATTAAAAATGCTAAAACCTGTAATCGTTTTCAACATCAATTAATAATGGTTTTGGTTATTTGTTTTCCTATGATGCTATTCATAAGTTTATTTTTTTAGTATGTTTCGATTATCAGTGATTTTACAATTCAAAGTACCATTAGATTAATGACAATTTGTTAGTGCAATTTTTTCCGATAATAAAAGGTAATTTATGACGAAATGAAAAAATTTGTTCATTCTCATCATCATGCATAATTCGAATTCAGGCAGTGAAGTCAACTTTTTTTTTCTTCAGTTCACATGTTTTATATTTTGTTTCTAAAATTTTGGTTCTTCCATTGCTTTATCAAAGAAAAATGCAAAACTTTTTTCTTCATCAAATGATAATCAAAGACGTAAAAAAGGGAGAATTCTTATGAAAAAAATGAGAAAATCTTATGAAATCCGATTATAATTTTCATTATTTTTTTCATTTCTTTACCGTTGTACAGACCTACCTACACGAAAAGCGAGAAAGGCGCCTACATACGGAATTTCTTTTTTTTCAAGTATTTATTTTTTATCAAACGAAAAAAAGGTTTTCAATTATTTCGTACTGTTTATGAAAGAAAATAAAGAATGAGACAATGAAACGTCAAAGTTTATTGTGGAATGAAAATTATTTCTTAAATCATTCATCGTGTTTGAATGAAAGAACAAAAAGATTAGAGGATCAAATGAAGTATGTAATTTTTTTCTACATCTTTCCTTCTAAATACATGTGTTTGTGAAAAAAGTAAAAAAAAAATAATTCAATGTAAATGAAAATCCATTTGCAAATATGTTCATAATAATAAGAATGAAAAAGAATATGATTATATTATGAGAGAAAGCAAAACAAAATTCAAAAAAAAACTAAAAAAAGATGTAAAAATTTTTAGCTTTCTAAAATAACTAAAAGGCGTAATTTGATAATGATTAAAATGTTGATTATAATCAATTATTTGTGTATCTTTTTTCTGTCGTTGCTATTGTCATCAATAAGTTTGAAGAAAGTAATGATAATTGTTTAAAATTAATTATATTTGATTTGTTATCCATTTGTGTTACGCATTAATTGATTCATAATATGAAAAAAAACCAAAACAACATGCTCGATCTAAATATATTTAATTGAAATTAATGTCAGAATATTGGGCGGCCACATATGGTCAACAATATTTAATCGCCGGTTATGATCTTATTTGGCCATTTTGGGTTGATAAGGATTATCATATTGTGCACAAGCATTTCCAAAAACAAACTTAATTCTGAGAAATTTTTTTCAGGCTGGCTAGCCACTAAGTGCGAAAAAAAAACGAAAACATCGTTTATTACTTTCTTGCCCTCAATAATCTTACATGGTAATAGTGAATAATGACGAAACATACAAACAATTAGGACGGATATTTAAACTTCTTACACCTCTTTCTACTCCTCCTCTTTTCACCAAACATATAAAGGCAATCATCATTATTTGGCATTAACACTAAAAAAAATCGCCATGATCTTTTTTCTACCAAACATGATTTTCATCAGTTTGGTAATCCAAGAGATTCTTGTTTTGAATATTTTGTACAAAGAAAAAATGGAAAGTATTATGACCAAAAAGTTGGTTAAAATAAGGCCAAGGATAGTATATTATTTTGATTACAATTATAATAATTTTTTTGTATCCAATTTTTCAGGAAGTAACGTAAATCATAAATATTGATAATGATGGTTTTAAACAGCTGAAACAAGAAAATAAGTTTTTTTTTAAATTTACAAATAGAAACTGTAAAATCAAAGTGGAAAATTACATACATTACATTTCCGATTACATAATAACGATGTCTATATAAATATCAACGAATCTAACACATGCTACCCATCTAAATCTACATACACACAAAAGTTAACCAAAGATAATAAACTCTGAGAATAAAGATAACAAAATATCAACAATGTCGAATGGGAGCAAAAAAAAATTTCAAAATTAAAAATGAATATTATGATTTGTGTTAGATTGGTTTATCCTGTTCCAAACAAATTCCCGTTTGCATGAAATCTTTTTGACCTATACGTTTAATGTAAATTTTCATTCTTTCATTCTCTATTTTCTTTCGTGTTTATACTGTTCAAGAAAAAAATAGAAATAGAAATTCATTAAATTTATGGCCACAAATTTTATTTACTTTGTCTTCTTACCAATCTTGCCAGACAAAAATAAATTGAAACATCTGGATTGAAAATTTCGAAACTTTAGTAAAATTTGAAATTTAAATTCAAATATTATATAATTTTGAATCATATAGGAAAAAAACTACAAGGAAAAAATATTAAAATAAAACATAGACAAAAATTTACTATTGAATAAACAATGGAAACAATGTATGGCTAATGGTATGTCTATTGACCATTTGTAAATTCTGGCGTTTTTTTAAATATTTTTTCCTTTTTTTATTTATTTCGTTCGGCATAAGAAACAATGATAGAGATAATTATCATTATCATTTTGGCGATTTGACAATTTAAAGGGCATGTTATCAAATTTTTAAAAAAATTATCAACCTGTATAGTATGAAAGATTTTTACCTCAAATACTCTCGAGCTTTAAGTGATGCTTTATCCTTAATTAATCAAATAATCATATCAATCATCATAGCAATCATCTGACAAATTGTTTCTCTCTCTCTCTCTCTCATCAAATATTATTAGTCGATCCGGTTTGTGTTTTAACCCTTACCACTCCAGACAAAAAAATTCTAATGGAAAATGTCCCCTCAGAGGGGACATTGGAGTGGTAAGAGTTAAATTAAATTAAAATTAGCAACCAAAAATAACAAAAAAAAGCCAACAAAAAAATTAGATCAATGTTATTCGATTCCTTATAATGATAGCTGAAATGATTGTATTGGACTTTTTTTACATTCATTCAATTATCAAACAATATCATCATCATCATTGTTATTATTGGCATCATGCAATTCGGTAAACGACATTTGATATCCATACTATGTCTATGTTCAAGTATGATGGGCTATATTGGCCGTATCAATCTATCAACAGCAATTGTAGCTATGGCTCGTGATGAATCAATAAATAAAACTGATCACAAAGAATTCATTACAGATGTATGTCCAGATCCGAAAATCATTGGCAATAATTCAAAACCTGTATTTGATTTTCAATCATCAACCGCTCAACGTTTCGATTGGAATCAAAAAACTCAAGGTGTGATTTTGGGTGCATTTTTTTATGGTTATTTTGCCTTACAAATTGGTAGTGGACGTCTAGCCGAAATATTTGGGCCAAGAATATTATGCTCGTTGGGCTTATTCATGTCTGGAATCATAAATCTTTTGACACCTTTGATAAGCAATCATTATGGTTTATTGATTACAAGCCGTATCCTTTTAGGCGTATTTCAAGCAGCTATTTTTCCATCTTGTTATGCATTATCATCACGTTGGATACCTGATCATGAACGTAGTACAATCAATTCGATGGCATTTATTGGCGGTGATTTGGGTTCACTAATAGCATCAACATTAGCTGGATATCTAAGCCGTCATGGATTCGCTGGTGGATGGCCTTCTGTTTTCTATGTTTCAGGTTCGTTTCGCTGTTTTTCTTTGAATTATCTTCATCTAACAATCAATCAAATAATTAACATTAGGTACACTGATTACAGCTTTCAGCATTTTATATTTCCTTCTTGTACGAGATGATCCATCATTGCATTGGATAATATCCGATAGTGAACTCAAATACATACAAGCACATATTAAAAGAAAAAAACAAATAGAAACATCTGTATCATGGTTACGATTGCTAAGTAGTCGTGTAATCTGGGCCGGGGCATTCACTCATTTCACAATGATTTGGTCATTGACAGTTTTTGTATTGAAAATTCCCGAATACATGCATCATGTACTGAAAATTCCATTGGAAAAGAATGGATTATTTTCAGCATTAATGTATATGGGTGAATGTTCCAGGTAAACATTTAATGATTTCTCTATAGAAATTTGGACTAATCTAATTTTTTTCTATCCAATTTCAAAAGTTTATTAATCACCGGAATTATTGTTGATAGAATCATAAAATCAGAACGATACGATAAGACTTTAGTTAGAAAAATTTGTCAATCTATTACACAATTTGGTGGTGGTATATGTCTATTATTGGTTGCTGTAGCCAATTGTAATGAAGGATTATTTTTAGCAGCCACAACGGGGACAATGATTTTGAATGGTCTACAATCCGGTGGATTGATTGCATTACCATCGGATTTATCAAATAATTTTAGTGCAACAATATTCGGCATATTCAATATGATTGGTATGACTAATGGTTTCATTTGTCCATTGATCATAGGATATGTTCTTGATTCTGATCCACATCACATTAAACATGGATGGTGGACTATTCTGTATATAACAGCCGCATTACGTATAGCTGGTGGTATCGTATTCACATTATTTATATCATGTCGACGACGATCATGGAGTTCGAAGAATACACTTTCATTATCTACATCATCATCATCATTATCATAATAATTCTCGCCATAACGATTATGATCATTCATTTTAAATAACAAATTTATTATTATGTTTACTCGAAAATTTTTCTTTCCTGCTTGGAAATGTCATTAAACAAAAAAAAAGTTGACATAATGTTTCTCTATCTTTCTTAATTTCTTTGGAATTTTATTACTTTCTTCATTTTTGTTGTTGTTAGAAAATATAAATTATAATCTTCATTTTTGTTCATTATGATTAACTATTATTAAAAATTCATAGCCTAAATATCATATGTTTTTTTTGACGATGCTATTTATTATCGTTATTGTTACAATGGCTAACCATAATATTACAAATGATAATGGGGACCATTTGTAAATTATGGCATATTTTTCCAGTCTCTCTCTCTCTCTCTCTCTCTCTCTCTCTCTCTCTCTCTCTCTCTTCCTTCTACTTTTTTTTTTT